AAGGTCTTCGAAGATTGGCACGCCAGACTCTGGCTCGAAGAGTCCTACGTTTTGTAGAGACTTGCCTACATCACCTTCGACATTCAAGCCGGAGATGGCTGTCTGCACGTTGCGCTTTCGGAGAACGCGGTTGATGCGGGTGAATGCTTCCGCGGCTGAGAAGTCGAGTCCGTAGACCCGAGAAAAGTCGAGAATGAGGAATCGAATGGGACGCCGGTCGAAAGCTTCCTCCTCGATCAGGCCACGCATGGTGTTCTCGACGTTCACGATGGTTCCAAAGAAGAGATACCCACCAAGCTTGATGATCAGGGTTTGCTGTCCAGCCTCACGTAGGAATTGCTGTTGGATGGGAGGACGTCGGACCGTCGACCCGGAAATTTCGCCCGAGAATGTTGCTCGAATGGCGGATTTGCGAGATGTCTGAACCACAAAGTTCACGCAGGCCAAAATGATTCCAATGAAGATTCCAACCACGAAGTCCCATGCGCCCATGGTAACAACGATAATGACAACGGTTAGATATTCAAGCCGGGTGAGTTTTCCCCATGTGTCCACCAACGCCTCTTGCAAAAGCTCAATGCCTAGCAAGAAAATCAAGGCGCCGACAACCATAATGGGAATATAGCCGATTATGACTGGGCCAATGACCATAATGCCTGCAGTGGCTGCGGCCAACATCAGACCGGCCAACCGAGATGATCCCCCACTTGCGATGAAGAGAAGACTATTGGTATAAACAAGATAGTTCTACTTTCGTCAGCTCATTAATCACAGCGCTATAAATGGCGGTCACATACCTGAATGCTTCCTGCAAATCCTGAAAGTGCATTCGTCACGCCATGTGCCACGAGCTCTCTGTCGACATTGAGATTGTCTTCACCGGTAGATATGCCGAGCGCAGGTACGTTAATGGGCACATGAAGCACACCAAAGAAGGTCAAAGCAAACATGGCCGGGATGGTCTCACCAAAGGCAGTCCAATTGACCGCTGACAGATCTGTAACGAATTAGCATGGCGGCGCCGAAGTATCGCAGCCAATCGACTCACCATAAAGAGTATAGAAATGGTACCACGGATTGTTCGAAGACGGGGCATCGAAAACCCATCCATTGTGGCGCAGAGCACCCATGGAGATCCTGGCGCTCAAAATGACGATGTAGAACACTACAGCAACAGCAATGAAGTATCCGCCAACAAGGAAGTTTGAACGAACAAATCGTTTGAGAACAAGAAGGCCAATTGCAAGGAATAAGGGTATTATCCAAAGAGGGAAAGTATCAAGCTGGCACAGTTTCTGGACCGTGGGGAGGTTGTACTCAAAAGACCCAGGAAGCCGGGCCGAAACTTCCATTCCAGTTTGTAGAAGAAAGTAGCCCACGCCACCGATGCACCCGATGAGAATATGACGGGGAAAGAACCCTATGAGCGAGCCCAACCCACAGACACCCATTAAGAAGAACACCAAGCCGGTGAGGATCGAACTTGCCGAGAAGGCTAAGATGGTCGTTGCAATCACTGATTTCGGGTTGTCCTTGCCGATTGAATTCATGATTGTGAAAGCCATCTGGTGGAAGAAGGGTACTACTTCAATCATCTCACTTCCTATTCCTCCTTTGAAGATCGAGCCTCCACAAGAGAATACCACTTGGGAAATAATGGTGCTGACATAGAACATCGAAATTCCGTCAGTTCCCAGGTGAGCAAAGAGGGGTTCTCCAAGAGGAAACAGGATCATTCCATAGGATAGGGCATCAAGAATGTTTAGAAGTAGTCCCAGCAATACGGCAGGAACCAGACTGGCGGGGTAGACCACAGCCTCTTTCCATATAGCTCGTCTATTCCATGACTTTGGATTCGACAGGATCCGAGTATAGTGAGTGGCAGATGCAATTCCTTTCGTTATTAGGGTTGGAGACCGCTTGACAGCCACTCTTTGGTTCTCGATATCGCCTGAAATTCCATAATGTTGTATAGATTTGGATCGTGATTTGGATAATAACGCGGTGTGCTCAGTGTCTCTTTCGAGTTCCTCGTGGGTGTCCGGTAGTAGGGGAGAGGAGATATCATCGGTCTCGGGTTGTGTGACCTGGTCCTCGACCGTATCCGTCAATGGACGCCGAATCATCTCTGTCAGGGCCGAAGAGCCGGAAGAGGAAGTGGGATCGATAGAGGCATATCCCGGCTCCAACAAAGCTTCCTCCGCGGCATGATGAGAGCTTGTAGCTTCATCCTCGGAGTAACTTGTAGAAATATGGCTGCTGTGGAATATATCAAGACTGGGGGGTAAGCCGGGCCCGTCCCTCAAGTGGGATTTCTTATTCAGCGAGAGGCCATAGGTAGCGAGTTCTGCGGTCTGGTCACGGAGACCATCTGAAGCATAATGAGCCGGGTCTACGATAGGTCGAAGGTCAGTAAAAAATCACGCGCTGACTCTAACAGTACATCATGCACAGTGACCTACCCATATTGTTGTTGAAGGACCGGTGGTAAAATGAACGTGTTGGTGTTCTCGTTGTCGATCCATTGTAACTTGATGCTTCCGCTCCCATTGGACCGGGGGGGCTGCCTAGGTTTGCATGTTCCACCAGCGTTTCTGACGGGGCGTTACCCTGGATGTCGCGGTCAAACATCAGATTGCGTGACAGCGCTGATGCGCGAGAGTCACGACGGCCGCGAGGTTGCAGCACCGCCATATTGTTTCGCGCAATTGCGGTCCAGCTAAGTAAAGGCGCCGAAGAGTTAAGAAATTCGGAAGATAACCGGGAGCACTAGCGCATGGGGCAACCGTTTGGACAAACAAATGACGCAATCGAGATGAGCATTGGAGAGGGGCTTAATGAGTTATATAGAAAGAAGCAGTTATCAACACAAATATAAATTAGCAACAAGATAGGCGTTGGAGGAAACCTTGGAAGATCTACCGGAGTTTTTTGACTAAACGTTCCTTATCTCTTAACTGTCAAGCTAAACCACATCCGGACTGATACAGATGAAGAGGTCCGTGCAGAGCCCTGGAAGAAACAGCCATGTGGATAAGCAACTCTCTCTTGGGCTCCTTATCCTGTCTCTTCACTTGCACTAGTTTTAGACTAACTTAACTAACTCAACTTGTAAAACTAACTATGCAAATTAAAATAGTATGCAGCAAACTGCAGCTCCGCTGTCGGAGCACTATACGCTGCATGATCGACGGAACCATGCAGCAGAAGCCTTGTTATTCCTTGCATAATGCTATAAGCCAATCATTTATAAGAACATTTACCGATATTTGCCGGACATCTTACCAGGTTTATAACAGTCTAAACAGATCTAGATTCTACTCTAGTACTCTACCCCACTGACCTTTTGCCATAGGCTACTCTAGCTCTAGAAGATACATTCGAAAGAGAGAGAGAGAGAGAGAGAGAGTAATAAAAAAATCCATTAAACTAGTAGCCATGCACAATAACCAGACTTGTGTCACACCATTGCAATGCAGAAAATCATCATTTTGGCCGTTAGATCTAGACACGCTAACGGCGGGGGGTATCTCAAAGTACATGGTCCCTTCATAAAACCACTGTAGATATCCAACGCCAATTCATGTTTCTTGTACTCATATAGAACCCGAAAAAGCCAGGTAGTTCCGACTCACATTCAAGTCAACCGCTCCAGGAAGCCCTGAGCAATCAGCCGCTCCACATCACCTTGACGAACATAAAGCTGACTGTTCTTGGTCAAGTTGATCACACTGATCCGGAATTAGCCGCTAAATCCTCAGACGATGCCAGGGGGGAAAAGAACATACCCATATTCGGTCTGAATCTCACCAGCATCCTTCAACACCCGTACATCAATAAACAAATCCTTCGGTGGCTCTAGCGTACCCGTCAAATCCACATCTGTCCACTGGCCCTTATATGCAGCAAGCATATCCCCATACTGACGGAAATACTCCTCCTCTTCAGGACTCAGCGAGCTATGCCCGCTATCCCCGAGAGTCGTATGCTGAGCCACCCCACTGTCCTCGGACGGCTGCTGCTGCTCAAGGATATCCACCCCCGTCCAGCACAGCTCCTCGAGCTTCTCTGTGCGTACGCGGTGGTACGCGAGCAGGCATCGCTTGTTTCGGCGCATGCACAGGTGATCGACGAGTAGCGCGCAGGCGATAGCTGGGTCGGCGGAGGGGTTGAATCCGCCCTCGAAGGGCTCTAGGAGGCGAGTGACATCACGATCGAGATCGCGGACTTCACGAGTTACTGCGCGCACGATCTCGGTTTGGTAAGGGGGTAAGTGGGCGAGGGATTGGGTCCGTTTGGCGTGTTGGACCTATCGCGGGTAAGGTGTTGGTCAGCGGGTTGTGTTCTCTCTTTTTTTATGCTATTTGGCGGCCGGTGTCTTGGTTTGAATTCTAAATTCTGAACGCCCAAAACGAGGGTAAATATGTAACCTACGTACCAATTTATTGCCGAGTTCGCCGTACATGGTGGTCACGCGGTCGGGGTCCAGATGAGAGACGCGACTTTGATCCATTTCGGCGAGCGCCAAGATTGGTTCTTAGTCAGGTGGAGTGATCGGCGCCAAGGTCAAGTATGGAGTCACTTTTTGGGTAAAGGCTCTAGATCCTCGAAAGAGACAGATGGGATAAGTAAATTGGAAGTGACAGCTCTAGTATATTGAATAATGTGTTGGGTTCATGTTTCACAAGACAGTCGAAGAGGAGGGGGAAAGGCAAAAACATCTGGAAGGAGCACAATGGCTTCATTTTTAGACGAATCGGGGGAAAGTAACCAATGGGATTATTCCTCAATGATAACAAAAAGTGAGCAATTATTTACACTACTATCAGTACTGCATAGAAGCCCTCATTTTGTTGTATTCAGCTTCTGTGATCGGCTCATACTTTGCAGCTCCTTCACCAACACATGGAATGCATTCAATCACCGAGTCAGGATCCGGTGCCATGAAATACGGAATAGAGAACCGTCTACGAGTGGTACGATTGGTCCCTTCAAATCGATCAGGCAGAGGTGGCAAAGTGACTCGATGGCTTGTAGACCTCAGAAGATCTATGTAAGTCAGCGGTTGAGAGCAGACCAGGAACATAGATCTCAATTGACGAACCATTACTCCACCTCTGCAAAAGATCCCCCACATTCATCACAATAGCATTCTTGATAGGTTTTGCAGAGATAAATGCTCCCGGTGATGAAACATCCTCGACTTCCAACCCACCACAGTCATCTTGAAACAGCAAGGTGATCGAACTCCAGTCGGTATGCGCAGGGCATCTGGCTGCACGCCCTGTCTCAATTTCTTCTGCCGCAATAGGCGGGTAATGTAGCAAGCGTAGCTGGTTGTTATGACCCGAGTGTTTCTCAAGCAGATGATTATCATCTAGCTCCAAGCCAACCGCAAGCGCTTGTAGGATCTCCCCTCCGACACGGAAACACTCCCAGTAGAAGCGCTGCATGAAGTCACGAAAACCGGGGAGACTATGTTCAGGCAGCCATTGGTTAGGCTGGGTAGTAGTGTTGTCGCTTCCTATGTCGTAGCTTTCCTAGGGCAAGTCAATGAAGCCCAAAGTTATATTATGCATACATAGACTCGGAGCTAATTGGAAGGTACGAGACCATGGATAAACACTGCAGGTTCTCACTTTGATGTCTGTAACTTCTCTCAGCTGGTTCGTCTTTTTCTCGTCGTCACCGGTGCTCATCGCCTGTGACACCTTCTCCAGCCCGGGCCAAGAGTACCCTCTATGAACAGCCCATCCCTCTGGATGGGGCGCTTTGAGTTTCTCATCTAGTGGCAGTTCGAAGAATAGCTTTGACCAGTCAAATGCCTCGTCTAACATCGACGGTGGCAATGAGTGGTTGACTATGTACACGAACCCCACTGTTTTGCAAGCGGCGACGATTTCTCGCGCGATTCGCTGACGACTGGACTCCGTGTTCCAGCCGGCAAAGTCCACGACAGGGATGTTGGGGGACTTGGTGGAGGCCATGGCACGTTGAGGTTCTAGTGTAAGCGTGTGAGGGCCAAGAAACAAAAGACAGCCTTGAAAGAAGACAGTATAAGGGAAAAGCTCAGAAAGAGCGAAGGGTAAGTTTCGGACCTTTTGGAACTTTGAACACCCCTTACATGGGAGACAACTGGGGTACACTCCATTACCCCGCCTTAATCTCAAACTTCTATACAGAGTACAACATGTAGGACGGCAGCAGATCCCTGAAATTTCTCTACAAATACCGAATAAAACAATGCCCCATTTGTCAGCACCATACCTAGCATCACTATACGTAGCACCGAGCTAGGCACCGGGTCCTAAGACAAGACCTCCGCACTAGCCCATAAAGCCCAGGGCCCAACCCAACCCAACCCGCAAATGGGCTGGGCTTTGGGCCTGGTCCTTAGGCCCACCGGTGGGCTATGGGCCTAGGGTAGAAGCCCACTGGGCTTTAGTGGGGGCCCAATGGGCCCCAAACAGTACAAACATGCTAAGAATTTAGGTGCCAAGTAAAGTTGAACCCTCCCTTTTCTATCTTTTTAATTACGCTTCGTTTTACCTACGTTTCTAGGCCTTATTCCTAAGGTAATATTCTATTTATTTAACTAAATGATTTAGAGCTTATTATTAGTAATTTCTTAATATCACGTTTAAAAAAGCGAAAAAGCGCGTTTACAAAGAAATTCTAAAAATTACAGAGCTTTACTAGAAAGTAGTAGTACTCCCATCTAGATCTAAAATATATATCTAATATCATCCTCGAATAGATGAGGAGTGGCAGCGTCGACGACATAAGGGAGATATGTACTCCGTAAGACGGCTTGGGTCAGACATGACTTTGAGAAATCTTCAATAAGAGGCGCTACTATCAGAGGTAAACTTCGCCTAAGAAAGTCTGGTCTTATTAGCACACCTGCGTACGGGACTCCGAATGACAATTGGAAATGCGGCTAATATAAATTTCTGGTAACCAAAGGCCCGCAGGGAAGATTGAAATTTAGGGAATTTCAAGGTTCAATGGTATATCTAGGCACATAGAATTAGAAAATATATACTCCCAAATCATTCGTACACCATGTATCCGGCATTGATATTCTAAATCAATTGACTATGTTGTACATATATTAATTTATATATCAGAACCATGCCTGGTAGACAATTAGCCCCATTCTTACATATGTTGTACATTGACGATTCATATGAGTTGGGTCCGACCCCTTAAGTCTTTATAGCAACTACAGTTTTAGGCAAATATTACAAGACAGTGTGATCAATATTTGTCATTACCGAATTGTGGCTGCCTGTACTCCGTATAAGGCCCACATAACTTCAGATGACTATGCAGCAGTAAGGAGTTCCCATCTAGATCGACAATCGTATTGGGAAAATAGCAGGCAATTGAACAACTAGCGTCATTGGGTTGCATGCTTGCTACAGTTACATTAGTAACTTCCCTTTTTAGGCCGCTGAGCATGCTGAATAGAGACAACATTGAAGTGTGCATTCATTGGTCTCGATCCCTTTTCGACCTTATTGGTCCGATTCTATCGGCAATCTCCAACTCTGTCCATGAGACCTATCAGATCTACATATTACACCAATCAAATTGGTCCCTACCTAGGTTGTAATATTATAGATCAGTTCAGCTGAGCACCGCCTCAATGATAGATCTACATACTATATCTAGGTATGTACAACATAGGCTATGTCCCGGCAAGGACCAATCTTGCAAGGGTTTTGGATTCCAATAGAGAATCGTTCAGCTCTACTTTTTACGCCAACCAATTTGGTCCCCAGTGAAATCACAGGTAGAGGTGACATTGAACATAGCCTAGTGGGCATATAAAGTAGGGGGAATCTCACCCGTATGCGAAAACATCAACATCACGCAAAAACCGCCAAGCAGGAACACAAAATATGCTGTTCCGTACTTTCAAGTCGCTCGTGATCGCGCTAGCGTTCGGCGCTATCACCACGTCGGCACAGCACCTCGATCGGATCGCGAGCCGTCGCCTCACTGAGTATCAAATGCCGGCCACCACCCAGACGCATGAGTTTGCGCGCGTGCCGGACACGAACATAGTGTTGCTGTCGCAGATGTCTAACAGCAACCTCGTCAAGATCGAGCTGGATCCAACAACCGAGGAGCCCATTGCTCTTCACTCGTTCCCCATGGGAAAGAACAGTGATTCCGGGCTACATGGCGTGTGGCCATCGGATGTGTATCCCGGCAAGGTGTGGCTGTCGCTGCAGCTTGAGAACAAGCTGCTGCTCGTGGACCCCGGCAAGGATCTCCAGACTGCGCCGACCATCCTACAGACCATTGATATCCCGGCGCCAGGGAACGGGCCGCACTGCGTGTTTGAAATTGGCAACCGCATCTGGGCCGGCCTCAAGGAGGAATCTGAGCAGACAGGCAAATACTACGTGTTCTCGGCCGATGTCTCTGACCCGACGGACTACACATTGTACGAGTGTCTCAAAAGCCCCGTATTTATCAAGGAGGAGCCGATCACTGGACTGATATATGTTACGCAAGACACCGACTCATCTATCATGCGCATCAATGTCAGCACCGGCGAGACGGAGCAGCTGCCAATCCCGCCCAGCGTCGGCAACACTGCCGTCGGGATGATCACCGCCTACGGCCCCATGAATGGTGTGTGGTTCACTCTCGCTGGGAATGCCACTGGTGGCACTGGCACCTTTGGCCATATCGGAACCTCTGGCGAGATGAAGTTCTTCCAGCTCCAGCACCCACTCGGAGTTAATTCAGGTCTACTCCATCTTGCTGACGCGACGACCCACGATGTCGGCCCGGCCTTGTGGATTTTATCAACGTCGCTACTCAGCAACGATTCACCCGATGCCCTGATACATGTGACTTTTAACGACGATCTCACGTCCGTTGCCGACGAAGAGTATATTTCTATGCTCACTCAACACTCTAAGGTGCACCGGGTCGTGCCCTTGGATTCCACGGTTTTAGTCTCTGAGCTCAGCACCTTTACACTCGCCCAACTCCGCTACAGTAACACCGTTGCCGGGCAGTGGCTGCCAGCTGAGTCTGTCCATGGCAGTGCAGTTTACGCGGAGGCTAGTTGAAGATGAAATTTCCAGTGGGAAGCCTGTAGATATATATTTATAGGGCTAGGTTTATAGATGGATGCAGATGCATTACTTAATTACTAATCTAATCATACATTACACGTTGAAGTCTTGCGCATTTAGATCATAGTCAATTGGAAAGGACTTACCTGTGAAATCGCCGAATAAACAGCCGCATTTCCGTAACTTTGGACAGCTACTTGGGCCGCTGCCCTGTACGTGGGATAAGAAAGCAAAGTGGTTCAATGTAAGCACCCCGTTCTTTTTATCCATAAACTCGATCGGGGCGCCAAGCTTATAAAGTGGAGTGATTTACATAGGCTAGTCCCGATTAGGTATAGAAATGCTGTTCAACGACCCTCGAACAGGCTTCGATACTGTCACGGCAATATTGGAAGCTATTACAGATTGGGCAAGCAATATCTTGACAATGGATTGGTTCTATTGTAAAAACTAAAGAGGCTAACACAGAATAATCTGTCTGTAGGGAGAGGCAATAGCTGAATGGTAAAAAGCCCTAGTATGTTCACGGGTATACATAACTCAAAGTATAATCGCACCTATTCCCTTAATATTCTCAAGCTCGCATCCTATGTATACTAAATACCCCGAAGCTAGGTACAAACCGGGTTTGAGCTATTCTTAAGTATACTGTATAAATCTCTCAAGGGTTGCGTATGCGGTAGTGATATAAGATCGCGAGAAAATATGAGTGGCTGTACTCGTACTCGTATAAATAAGTGTAAGATCAAGAGGAGCGGTGCCCCTGGAGCCCTGGAGGTGGGGAAGTCTGAGCTGAGGTCTCTGTCATGTGACCCTGGGGGGGGGGGGGGGGGGGGGGGGTGTTGTTGGGTGTGTGTTGTTGTGGTTTGGGGGGTTGTTGGGGGGGGGGGTTGGGGGGGGTGGGGGGGTGTTACAAGTTTAAGAAGGACCTCGGGATGAGCCGAACTCAATCTAGAGGTGAGGCGACCAGGTCATGATGAATAACACACCGCAGCAAATCCTCAACATTGAGGATGCCCTGGTATCGGAGGACAACCCTGCGCGCCTCAATGGCCCCCTTGACTACGAACGCTGTGCGAGGCTACACAACTACCTAGTTGCGTATGGCTGGATGGCCCGCCATGGACAAGAGGCATCCAATCTCGATGAGCTAGCTAGTCAACCATTTGTTTTGGCGGACGAAAATATACAAGGTGTGCGCGAACGACTCCACCCGTCCGTGAATTCCTTCATAGGTTCGATATTCTCGCCTGAGTCTAGCTTCTTTTACTGGGTGTATGGTATCCAAATGATGTTGGTCGACGACATTTTTCCCGATGAGGAAAATGATCTAAACGATTTGGAACGATTTGTTGTTATCTATGACACTGTGGTTGATTTGGGCTCACATTGTGTCGGCGTCGTCTATGACCAACAGCTCCACCGCGCTGCTTTCCCAACGACGCTAGAAAACCTGGATAGCGTGCAGCCGATCCACGAGCATGAGGATATGTGGTTCCCGTTGGAAACGATCCTTACCAACTGGATTCATATGCTTCGAATCGGTAAAATCACGGCCGATTCGCCAGAGGGCGAGGCGCCCAAAGAACTGGCAAGATCCCGTTCGCAAATCGGGCTTTGGTCTTGGCTTCCATATTCTACTAGTCAGATCGATAGTACTGTGGCCGCGATAGATCGGTACTCGGCGGCTATCGAAGCTAGAATGCCCTCTAGATCGCTTTTACCTATCTCTAGAGATACGCCGCTTTTCACCGATGCAGAGCTTGATGCAGCGTCTATACCGGAAGAATGCTTCATTCGTTCAGTTCTGACGAGAGTGAAGACACCTCGTTTTAAAGCTATTGCGCCCGGCTTGGAGGTTCCGCATGACACTATGGCTTTCATTGCTCGGCAGAGGTTTACAAGGGTACCTCGCGACCATGGGGGATGGGGCGAGAATATTCCGCCCGTCCTTCTCTTTGCAGCTGCAGATAACAGCCGCACAGTCAGTTTCGGGGAGGAGATTCGATGGCTTTTCTTTGGGCGAGATGATACGGTATCATTTAACGGAAATGATCTTATTCCTACAGGACTCTATAGTGAGTCAGTGTGCCGGTGCGAATACGATACCGAGGAGGCTGGCTTCCGTCTACTACTACCTTTCCGAGATTACAATGCGAGAATGAGTGATGGGACATCAATTTCGTTAGGGTCTGTATCACAGCTCTTTCAGCATGGTATTTTCCATCCATTTGGTGGTGAAAGGCGGGCTCAGAGATTGGAGAGGTTGATAGATCGATGGAGAGAATTAGTAGAAAGTGGTGTTTGGACAGTTGGAAGGGACGGTGTGGAGGGAACAATTGATAGATTCCGTACAAACGCCTGGATGGATTATTGGATTGCTCCTGATTGGTGAGTTTCAATGATTGAAATACAACACAGAAATAGATGGAAAAGGGCGGGAACAGGCATAAACTGTGCAGATGACCTTTCAATGTATAACCTGGGATGCTACTGGACTCCAGGGTTGTTCACCTATTGGTACCTGATCGAATAGATCTTATCAGAAGTAACTATAACGGCTTGTACGTATCTCCGTGCCCAAATGAGTAACAAGTAGTGAGACATATATATTATATTGGCACTGGGACATAGGAACTTACCCGATCAGCCAAACAGTTCAGCTGCGGTAGTTGAGAGCAAAACTATGTCCTAATCTATGTTTTACTTATATTCTTGGAATTATTTTATTACATGATATCTTCGGTCATTAATAGAATCATAAAAAAAATTAATATAATCTGACTTGGGCTTTGGGTCTAGAGGGTCGGGCTGCGGTTGCTAGGGCATCCCGGTGGGCATCCCGGTGGATAATTGTGACCTGACTCTGGTAACTACATCATTTGTTCTTTAAACTCCGATCTGCCCTAAAATCTCAAATTCCCCCTTGGGACAGCAAATACCCAAGTATGTTCAAGTGCCGAGTCTTCAATTATACTCCCGACCGATGAAAATCTAATCTTACTCCTTTAAGTAGTTTGTTGACACAACCCCGACCTCGGATAACGCCTCCAACGACGAAACGAAGCATGAGAATAAACCACTAAACCCACCCAATCAACCAGAACCTCAAGTTAATTTCTCCAAGCCGACCATTCCAACCCCCGCCCAAAGACCCCGAGAATGCGGGCTTCCGGATGGATCTTATTTGCCGCCACATTCCTCACATCGACCGTCCACTCAATAGAGACGGCACCCTTCACCGAAGCAGAAGAAGCCACAGCCAACAAACGAGCCTTTGAAATCCTCCGCATTCTCAGACGAGCTGAAAACAACTGCCCGGCCGGCTTCACCCCTTGCACCGAACTGGGCAACGCCAACGCATGCTGTAAGCACGGGACGAACTGCTCACGGGATGACGCCAACAACATCGCCTGCTGTGCAAGTGGCGCAAGCTGTACCGGCAGTCTGACAGGTACGAAGACGACGGGTACAGGCACTGGCTTCATGTTCCCCGGCGGCGCATCCGCAACCCCCACTTCCGATGGTAGGGCGGGGTCCGTAACCGGGTCGACACTAGACGGTGCATACCCATTTATTGTTGTCCCGACAGCTTTCAAAAATGCTGAGACTTGCTCATCGTACTACTCGCTGTGTCGGTCTGAGTACACACAGTGCACTGGCGCGCTGATGGGCCGCTACGGTGTCACTATTGGCGGTGCCGGGGAGGGCAAGACGGTTCAGGCTGTCACGGCTGTGTCGCAGGCAACTTCCATTTGCTCAAGCCTGAGTGCGGATGCTTGCCATGGTCTTAATTTGGGGTACTGTGGCAGCGTTGCGACACAGACGGGTAATGCGGACGACACTGGGAATGATGCCTCTCCTGTGCGGATGTCGAGTCTCCATGATCTGGTCTTCGGGCTGGCGGTTGGGGTTGCGGGAATGTTTATATGATTCACGGATTTGAAATAATGCTTGAAATGCCTGCTTTTTGTTTGTACATCCTTGTTTTTCCCTGTGGATTTTCTATGATTTGGAGCAAGCAGAAACCTCTGGAATATATATATATTGGCTTTGAGCGGCAGCTCCGCCAATCTTCTCGGTACAAATGCTTTACCACATGTGTCCTATGTTCATAAAATTTATTCAACCATGGAAATGTTTGCCACTTTGCTCCGCCCATTCTAAATCTTGGACCATACATCAAAACAATTTGACAGTGTTTGGCAGGCTACGTATTGTTGTTCACTCCATGATAACCGGCTGGCACATAACAACAGTAATGTCATTGCTAGTGGAAGATTGAACCGAATAAGCACTCGACACCTTTTTAAAGTCGAGTCTCACTATCCATCCATGGATGGTATCATGGTCTCATGTAATGATCGCTTTTAGATCTGACATATTCATTATTCGTTTCTGGAAATCCCCCGTGATATTGGGGCCTGTTCGTATTCAGTTCTTGCATGGTACCTCCTGCTAGATATCGAGATACTTGGTCTTAGGGCTCTTAAAACATCGCGAGGTTTACCCACTTCGTCACTTCCAGTTCGCATGCCAGGTCATGTGGTCCAATTTACAATCCCGATCCAACCCATACGCAGGCTAAGAATCCCTCACAGCTTTGGCAGTATGCTCCACATTGGGGCCAAGGGTGATGATGCGGCGGACAAGATCGTGGATAGTCCGAAGCTCGTTTTAAACGTGGCCGATTTTGACGATGCGAAGAGCCTAGTCATGGATGCCCAGGTCCATCGATGGCCTAACATAAGCAGCTATCTAATGATAAGACACTAGCGGGCAGGATCTGTATCTCCGGTGGAATCGAATATGGTTGTTGAGACTATCGCTAGTTTTTAGCCATCGTACAAGCAACCATATAGTCAAGTGGTTTCGCGGCATACACCACTATTAGTTAGGGATATTTTATAGAAAAAAGAACGATATGCCTAGCAATTTCATAACAGAGTGAGAAGTTTCTAGGTAAGCATAGCTATGTCGCCCAGACAGTGATACTTTTCCATTAGAATGAATTGGAGAAGCTTCGATTGTCGATTGAACATGCAGAAACCTACGATGTAGAGGCGCTTTTGGGGATGTCCCTTGGACATATGATCACCTGTAGGTAGGATGTCTAGCGATTTTCCAGGACTTGCAGGTTTGACCGGATCTCCTGTGCTTTCATAGGATTGGGCAATTCATTGTTGGGCTGCCATTGGTGACACGGAATATCCCCGACCTGCAATTTATGAGACTCATGGCTGCCCAAAGAATTCCATACAACATACAATGGGATTTTGTTCCTCACACGAAAATTCTAAAATGGCGGTGTTGGACATAAAGCTGATTGCTCCTATGTGGGTGGAGAGACCTGCATTCGACCGTTGATCACTTCTGACAGGATGCAGGGGAGGGCTTATTATTCGATGTAAAAAATAGTGTTGGACTAATCAGAGGCAAGAAAAATAGATTTAATTTGAAACCCAGCCACCATAAAAATAAAAAGAAGGGATTAGGCGATTGGTAGGAAATCGGGTGGTTGGGTATACGGAGAGAGGCTGGGAAACACTGTGTAGCTAACAAACTGGAACACTCTCCTCTCTTGACTTCTCTCATTCTTCTTTATTCTTTGTCTACTCCGTACATTCCGATCACTTGACTCAAATATTCTAGATCTTCATTTACTGGTGATCTACAAAGATCGAGTATACGGGGTGAGACAAGACTACTGAGGAACACCACTCCATTCCAAATCTCCAGGCTCTCCCACTCGAGTGGTTTCACCATTAAATTAAGGCAAACGTTGCCTCGCTGTTTCCTTGCGATGCGGTCTTTATCCGTCCTGCCGGTGCTTTCGACACTTGCCTTACTTCTCAACTACTCGACCCACACAGCCGCAACCCCGCTCGGATTGGGAGCAAACGTCACTGAGGGAAACGGGCTTGAGAAGCGCTGTGAGAACCCTTGTGGCTACAATGGCTGGCTTTGCTGCGCGAGCGGTCAAACGTGCACTACCAACAGTGCCAAAGAGGCTGTCTGTGCAGATGGGAGTGCTAGTGGCGGTGGAGACTGGGAATATTACACATCCACTTACGTGCTCACCAATACCGACGTAACAACTATTACCTCTGTCTGGAGTAGCCAGATAGCTGCACCGACAGGCACAGGCTCGTGCAGATTCGACCTCGGAGAGACAAAGTGCGGCTCGAGTTGTTGCGATGCCACGCAAGAATGCGCCTTGAATGCCGCTGGTAATGCGGGCCAATGTGTCGCCGAGAGCTCTTCATTTATTGCGACTGCGACAGGAACCGACGCCACGCCAGGCGTTCGACCGACGAGCGATGGGGCAACCACCGTAACAGCAACCGCAGCCCCAACCATCACGGAGGGATTCACGGCGCCAGTTGGAACGGACGGGGCAGAATTGATCGGGGTCAAAGCAGGTAACAACGGCTTGAGTGGTGGCGCCATCGCAGGAATCGTTATCGGCAGTATCGTTGGTGCGTTCTTGTTGCTACTCCTCTGCGCATGCGTCTGCTTTAAGGGTATCTTGGAAGGCCTATTTGCCGCACTCGGCTTCGGCAAGAAGCGCCGCAGACAGGACACAACCTATATTGAAGAGCACCATTCTCATCATTCGCATGGCGGTCGGCCTCCCCCTCCTCCCGGCCGAACGTGGTTCGGCACCAAGCCAACCGCGGGAGGCAGTGAGGTTAGCGAGAAGAAAGAATCCAAATGGGGCTTGGGCACAATTGCCATCATTATCGGTGCTCTTGCTCTGTGTTTGGGATTGAAGCGGAAGAGAGATAGAGAGCACGACGACGACAAGACAGAGTCCTCCTACCCAAGTTCATATTACTACTATTCCGATTATTACTCGGGCACCGGGAGTGCGTCTGCCCCTATATATTTTCACGAAAGAAAGACCTTTACTGACTTTTTTTTCTTTCACAGGTAGCCGAAGTTCTGACAGACGAACTAGAGATACGCGACGATCACGACGATCGCGCACTCGATCTGACCGTCCATGATATCTGACGTGAGACTCTTGTCTTTCACCTCGACAACTTTGGTTTGATTTACGCATTTATGGCGCTGGATTTATAACGTGATTAATGTATGACTACGATTTGCACGATTTGGTTTTTTTTTTTTTTTTTGGTTTTCATTGACGATATTTCCGTGTTTTCGATGTCGATATGAGAGATTTATGGCATACTACGACGTACATATGAAATTATGAGCACAAACTCGACATGATTCTTGGACTTGTTTATTGTCTAATACGTATTTTGGCATGGTATATAATTGCTGACGGGCACCGGCATGAAATAACCATGAGCAACTGGCGCATGGGGGTTGCAATGGCTGCAGAAAGCAAACAGCTTGCAGGAAACAATGTGCTCGGTTCCAATGCCATGCAGGTTTGACAACACGCAAATCCAATAAATCCCGAGTTAAATGAGATAAAAGATTAGAAAAGATAGAAAAGAAAATCATTATATAGAGTAAGATAAGTGAAGAGAGACATACCCAAAGGCCAAAAAAGACCACACAAAAGTTAGGGGAGGCACTTTACCTCCCCGCCTTCACTTCCGCCTTTTCCCTCCTCCACACTCCTCTGTTCTACCTGTTCGAACCATTCTACCCATTCTACCACTATCCTTGCAACTTGTCTTCAGTCATCAATGATTTCAGTCTCGGGATTAAACTCCTGACGTTATTAACCCTATTTCAACTTTAACCCAGTCTCCATTTTGCCGTCGCTTCGCCTGAGTTCCGATCCTTCGGAGTATTACGAGTCTCCGAAACGACTCATCACCCACCATGCTTCAAGCCCAGACCCAACACGTCTTTTCCCACCAACATCAATACCCCCAGGCTGATCCTTCGTGGATGCAACATCAGCAACAGCAACAGCACCACCAGGCTCAGCCACACCCACATCAGTCGCAGCAGCAGCACGCTTCCCTTGTTGCCCAACAGCATGCTCAGGTACAAGCTGCTGCTGCCGCTGCACAGCAACAACACTATGGCCGCATTGCCATGAGCGGCAACGGCGCTGGAAATCCCGCGCAGGGAGCCGGTGGCGCCGGCGGCATGGGTGGAGATGGCATGCCAAATGCGGTCTCCGCCATGGATGGTGGAATTAGTGAGGAGAATCGCAAGGTCTTCATTTGGGTCGCTGAGCTATTGGATCCAGCTCGCAGGGAATCTGCTTTGATGGAACTGAGCAAGAAGCGGGAACAGGTCCCCGAACTGGCCCTGGTTATCTGGCACTCTTTTGGTATGGCTCCATTCCCAACGTGCGCCCAGCCCTGTCTACAATAACTAACGGTCGGAAACTTGCAGGTGTCATGACTGCACTCCTTCAAGAAATTATCTCGGTATATCCGCTCTTGAACCCTTCTCAGTTGACTGCCGCCGCGTCAAATCGAGTCTGCAATGCGCTGGCGCTTTTGCAATGCGTCGCGTCCCACAATGAGACCCGCACTCTTTTCTTGAACGGTGAGCAACATATCTACCCTGACTCATGCCAAAACGGTTGCTAATTCCCCTCGTTTAGCTCACATCCCTCTTTTCCTCTACCCCTTCCTCAACACCACCTCCAAGTCTCGTCCCTTCGAATATCTCCGACTAACATCGCTGGGCGTTATCGGCGCATTGGTGAAGAATGACTCCTCTGACGTGATCAACTTCCTCCTAACTACAGAGATCATCCCTCTCTGTCTTCGTATCATGGAGACGGGATCGGAGCTGAGCAAAACTGTTGCTATCTTTATCGTACAGAAAATTCTTCTTGATGATATTGGCTTGGGTTACATTTGCGCGACATATGAAAGATTCTATGCCGTGGGCACTGTCCTGAGCAACATGGTCACTCAGTTGGTGGAGCAACAGACTGTCCGCCTTCTTAAGCATGTTGTGCGCTGCTTCCTTCGGTAAGTCCTTGTGCAATATCCCTCTTCTTGGGCGTCTCTAACAGCAGGATACAGCCTCAGTGATAACAGCCGGGCTCGAGAGGCCTTGAGACAATGTCTCCCCGAACCTCTCCGGGATGCCACATTCTCCTCCGTCCTCCGTGACGATGCGGCCACCAAGCGCTGCCTGGCTCAACTCCTTATCAACTTGTCCGACACCGTCTCGGATGGAGCCCCGGCAGCCATGTAACATACGAAAAGCATCTGTTTCTTTCTCCCGAAATATTTTACCTTATGATATGCATGGGAAAGGCTTCTGGCGATTAACGGACACAAGGCGCAAAATTGTGGTTGAAGAACTGGATGGATCCAGCGCGTGAGGTATGTCATCGATTGAGGGCATCCAATGTTTTTTTCTTCATTCCGGGTTGTTTCTCTTTACCGCATTTATATTGGGTTTCTTGAGGGTTCGGTGATCTGCGTTTGGGGGAAGTTTTAATGTATTCTTGTTTCTTTCTTTTTTTCTCCTTTTATCTTTGTTTTGCATTTTGCTTGTGGGAAATATGCTTCTTCTCTTTGTCATTGATTTTTTCATATTCGACGGTACTCTGTCGTGGCGCGAATTCTGGTTGGCGCTGTCGTCTGTGTGCATTTTTCTCCTCGTCTTTGACGACCCCCAACTGCTCTGTGTGAGATAGACCTTTGAGCGAGAGATATCCAAAGATCCAGGCGTCTGCTTTGTTTTGATTATTTCTCTCTTTTCTGTTTTCTATTGTGTATATGCGACGTTCTCAAAAAGCATGAATGTACTTGTCTCCAATTCATGAATATTCGATCTTCCATTGTTTGCATAACCTGCAGGGCTCTGTGATTTCCTGAAGATTTATATGATCGACAAGATAAAATTTGCTTGAAATTCTCTCTCCCCTTGCTGAATTCGACAAACGCATCTGCTCACGTGATAAGGTCTTGACGCGCCGCCTTACTGTCTTGCCTCACGACACGAAAAAAAGCCCAGACTCAACCTCCATATTTCATAGGCACTTTTTTTCAATTTTCACGCTCGTATTTCTTATTTGAAAGTTGGTCACTTCTCTGGCTTTCATCTCCGCTTAAATTCCATTCCAGTGAACACCCCCAGTTGAACACCTCCGAGAAAACCGGCCTTAACGGTTGTCCCGCCGCGATGGGATCGCGAAAGCGCACCCACTCCGAGGCCGCCCCGGTGGTCGAGCAACAGGCACCCGAAGAACCTGGTTTGCTCTCACAGCTTAGGAGCGACTGGGCATTTGCAAGCCTGATGCAATATATTGCCATCTTTGGCCAGGTCATGAAGATTGACGAGGAGTTTGGGATTGAGGTATGTCCATTAGCATTGTCTGAGATGAGATCAATGATGCGCTTCATGTCGCATTGATGAGATGATACACAAGCACATCTCACTTGGTTGAATTATCGCTGATAGCTTTTGCCGCACGCTAGGATCTAGAAGTCGAATGTCTCAAACCCGAGCCATCTCATAAACTACTAGAGATTGGATTGTGTCTCCTCAAATGGATCTCATCGCATCGCGGCCTCACGTACGTATACTGGGACATGTTTCTTGCTATCCCACGCGGATTCACTGACACCACTTCTTTGACAGCTTCGACAATTTCGATGAGTACACCCGACGCCAGTACAACGCGAAAGCACCCAATACCAATAATCCCTTCGGCTACGATGAAGAACCGAACAAGTTCTTGCATTTCGATGTTTTCACCAAGATCCACGTCCTCCATCAGCTGACGGTATGGACATTCTGGAACCCGGACCGCATTCGCGATAAGATGCCCGAAAAGAAGGAAACCGAGCAGACAGAATGGGTAAGCTAGCTCTCGTATAACCTTAACCCCTGGTTATCGCATACTGATCTTCTCCAGCGCATTGAAGAATTTGGCTGGGATCGCGAGGGGCGTTCATACTATGTGCTAGATGACAACCGTCTTTACCGTCGCACCGACCCACCTCTCCCTCCCCCTCCTCAGCCTCCCAAGAAGAAGGCAAAGAGCCGATCTTCTCGAGTATCGAGAACGTCAAAGCGTACCTCTACGGCAGCGGCGGAAGAGGGTTCCGACGAGGAGAGCAAGGATACCAACGATGCAAATGCCGTCGCGGCTTTTGCTAAAGATCCTTTCAAGTGGGAGTGTGTGGCTGTCACGCTCGAGGAATACCAGGCCTTTTTGGAGACACTCCAAAAGACCAAGGACGCGGACGAGAAATACCTACGCGATAGTATTGTTGAGCATGTGCTGCCTATCCTCGAGAAGGCAGAGGAAGCGCAACAGCGTAAGCGCCAGAAGCGCGAAAAGGAGCTTCTGAACCTGCAGCTGGTTGCAGGTGCTAAGAGGTCCAGCCGACTTGCCGCCAAGGAAGAAAGAGAACGGCAGGAACGAGAAGCTGCTGAAGCCGCCCAGAAGCGTGAAAGCGACCTGGCCGAGGCTCGTAAGCAGCAGGCGAAGCAAAGTCAGCTCGAAGAAGACCGACAGTCGCGTACAATGACTCGAGAGCAGCGCATCAGAGACCGTGAACAGAAGCGACTGATACATGAGGCCGAGCTTGAAAGGATCGCGGAAGAGCAAGAGAGAATTGAGAGAGGTGAAAGCAGAGTGTCTGCCCGAAACCTCCAGGCTGACCTGGAGAAGTCCCAGAAGAATCTGGCAGGGCTTACCCAAGATGACCAATGGGTTTTTGATTGTTCTGGCTGCGGAGTGTATGGCGAGAACTTGGTGAGTCTTAGTTGCTAAGTAAAAGTGGCAGCCTTAATCTAACCTTTTCCTAGGATGACGGAAGTCACAGTGTTGCGTGTGAAAAATGCAATGTTTGGCAGCATAGCAAGTGTCTTGGTATCTCACAGGAAGCGGCCGAAAAGGAAGACTTTCACTTTGTCTGCCGAGACTGCAAGCAGAAAGAAGAAGACTCCAACAGACCCAAACTTCCACCCCTCAAATTCCGAGTCAGCGCTTCAGCATCTCCTTCGGCTGCTCCTCCGGTCAATAAGAAACGGAAAATGGAGGACGACGAAGATCATGCTCCGCCTTCACCTGTGAAGAAATCACATCTAGCTTTATCCAATGT